CCTGTGCCACTTCATACAGTGAAGGGTAGTTTTCACCTACACCATGAAAAGCAGTGCAGCAAATACACAGTTGAGCCCACACTACTTCAGCCATAATATTGATAGAGAAGCCATCACTTTATTGATCAGTGACATATAATGTTGCATGAACTCAGTGTAATGGTCCTCCTTGCACACTGCTGGCCTGTGAACGAGGGGCAGTAAATACAACCTAGCTGGTGATGTGGGCGAGCCTAGGTGGGCAGCGCGGACAGTCCTGCAGCCAACAGGCAGCGCATGCCTTCCTGCCAAGGACTGGTTTGTGAAAGGCACAGTTCAGCCCTTAGTACCGTAAGCTGCTTACAGAGCTAAAACTTTTGTTTGTGCAGCAGATTTCAGTACTGTACATTTAAGTTTCGTTACAGCCTTTATGTTGTTTTCCTTGCTTCTTCCTGAGCCTTTAAGAAGTTAAAACAGAGGATAGTAAGCATCGTGCTGGGTCTGTATCACACATTCACTGAGAGTATCTCTTGCTCTCTCTCTGTATCTTGTTCCACCTCACAGTTAAAATACATGAGGTCTTTCAGCAGTTTGTTTTACCCTGTAAATGCCTTAACCATATACAGCAGTATTTCACGGCCCTTTCCAGGTCCTGTAGGGAGTTAATACAGCCTTTTCAATGTTTCTAAGGGAAAATAAAAGAGGCAAGCTTGAATATATTTTAGGTGCTACAGACACATGCTCCAAATCAAGTTAATTAAAACCCTGGACCCTCACTGAAGAATGCTTCACGATTTCTCTTTATTTCTAATATTAGGAGATAATTGTATTTCAAATTTCTTCTCAAACACAGTTCAAGCCTTCAGAGAGGAGTTCTGGATGGGTCCATCCATGTTTGGTCTGGTATTCCGTAACAGGTAGGCATTTCTTCCTCAATGCATGAGTTACAACTAAATGGTTTTCTGCAACATCTACAGACTGAATCCAAGGTCAAGCCCAGTGAGTCTCCACACGCTATTCCTTGGCAATAGGATGTAGTGGATGGTAAAAGTTTGTATGTTTCCAAGGGGGGTGTCTTCTCTCATGGAAGAGTTATCTACTGAGGGTTATTAGCACATTCAGGAGCGATAACTACGTCAGGAAGTCCTTGAGCTGAAAATGGCTGTAGGCTGGGAGAGTATTAGGGAGATGTCTGATACAAGCCAGCCCTGTCCTTAAGCTCTTCTTTGAGTATCCATCTCCCAGCCACTGCCAGGAGGGAGGGTACTGCAGAAGAGGGGCCCCTGTCTGACCCATCGCAGATGTTCTGTGCTCCCTCCCTGCAGTGCTGTGCCACCTACAGTAAACACCCCTCCGCAGCTCAGCAAGGATAAAATACTTACCTACCTTCCAGGGGCTTTGTGAAGATTACCTCCACGTCTGCACAACGCTGCGTGAGCACCAAGCGTTATGGCAAGCTCCCTGGTGAGAAGATTCCTCACAGATTATGAACTCATGTATGTAATGTTTGGTAGACGCTTTGAATCCAATTCTCAGGCCCCTGGTGTAATTTATCCCCTCTTCCTGCTGCTTCCAGAGGAATAGAGAGGGAGCCTCAGCACACGCCAAAAACAGGCCCAGCGGGTACGTAACTTCAGAGGCCCTTCAGATGGTTGGTGGGTCTTCCACTATCTGCCTTCTTGGTGAACTGGCTGGGCAGAGCTTTCTGCCACTGGGTAGCGTGGCTAATGAATCTAACTCAAAACCTAGTCACGGATCGAGATTCAAGTCAGCAGCGCCAACACAAGCCTAACGCACGTGAACACCACCCATTGCACTTCAAGGGCAAGCGTGCGGTTCGGGCCCCCATCTTTGCAAGACCTGCCTGAAATGCAGGTCTTCGATTTGAGGAAAAAAAGAACAAAGACGGAAATTCCGTGACAACCTTCCTCTCTCTCCATTTCTGAACCACAACAGCTTGCTCAGCTTATAAATCAATGGCGTGCGAGTCCCAGGGCCAGAAGAGCCATCTCGTCCTCACGCGGGCGGGACAGCACAAGGCGCAATGAGACGGCGCTTCGATTCCCCGTTTCCTCAGGGAACGCCATCCCGCGCCCCCTCCGGGAGCTCATTAGGAAGCCGGGCCGCGAGCTGTGCCAATTATGAGCGTGGAGGCAAGGCTCGGCAGCCCTCCTCAGTGATGTCCCAGAGAGTGGTCTGTCTGCGGCCCCCAGGCCCCTGGAGAAGCGTCTGCCGGGTGTTTCCATAGAGAGGAAAGGAAACCCGCGGCCACCCGCGGGACGGGCTGCTGCCCACAGCGGGGGTCACGCTGCCCACGCCTCCCCCGGCGGAGTGGCCCCCCGCGGGCTGGGGCCCCTCGGGCTCTTGCCAGCCCTGCGGCGGGGGCCGCGGGGG